CCAGGAAACCTTAGGGCCAAAGCCCTAGGGTGTAGCAAAGGATCAATTCTGTACACAGGCCCATGTGGGCATGTGATCAGTTACAAAACAACAACAAAAATCATGTTATCATTATGTGGGCTTGTAATCATGTGGGCCTATGATCAAAAAAATCATGTTGGTCTGTGATCAGTTCAATTTTGGACGCTCCTTTTGATAAAATTTTGGGTACAATTTTAAATTCAAATATTAAAAAAAAATCATTTATGTATTTTGAAATTAATTGAATGAAATAATATGTCGCCAAAGTGACCTCTATTGTGGAGGTTAATTAATTTTAAAATATAAAAGGTTACATGTTTGTGTGATTCATTTAAATATTAATCGGTCCAAAGAAAGATTGATGTTTAAATAATTACATTTGCGCCTGTGGTAATAAACATGTAATGCTTATTGGGTTTATATGTGAATAATAAATCGGCCCAAAGGAAAATCTATTATTTAACATGTTATTATTATCAGTGTTTAATTACTACAACAAGATACCACTTACTAATTAATATTTTGTCCAAAGATGAAATATTGATGTAGTGCCCGGTATCTTGAGATGAGATTTACCTTTATTTAAATTTATTATTGTGCTTTTATATATTTTAAGACTAATGTGAGCATGTTTTATTTGTTTGTTTATTCTCTGTTCAGCTATGATTCCTGCTAATATTACTGCCAATATCAATTCCATTCCTATGCTAAATGGTTCCAACTTCAAGTCATGGCGCGAGAACTAATATTACTGCCAATATCAATTCCATTCCTATGCTAAATGGTTCCAACTTCAAGTCATGGCGCGAGAACCTTTTGATAGTTCTATATCAATTCCATTCCTATGCTAAATGGTTCCAACTTCAAGTCATGGCGCGAGAACCTTTTGATAGTTCTCAGGGTCATTGATCTCGACCTTGTGATAAGGATTGATTCTCCTCCACCACTTACAAATAAGAGTACCTCTGATGAGAAGAGGGAGATGAAAAAGTGCGAGAGATCAAATCACATGTGTATGATGATCATGAAGAAGGCCATTCCAGAAGCATTCAAGGGCACAATGTCCGATCAGATCACAACAGCTAAGGACTTCCTTACAGATATTGAAAAGAAATTTGTCAAGAGCGAAAAGGCTAAAATTGGTACTCTCTTGACAAATCTCATTTCAATTTGAAGTATAGAGGTAAAGGTAACATCAGGGAGTACATCCTAGAGATGTCTCATCTTGCTTCAAGGTTGAAAGCACTCAAACTTGAACTCTCTGAGGACTTGTTGGTGTATTTGGTTTTAATATCTCTTCAAATACAGTTTAACCAGTTTAAATTGAGTTACAACTGCCAGAAAGAGACTTGGTCTCTGAATGAGCTCATATCACACTGTGTTCGGGAAGA